ATCATAGATCTATTATATAATTTGGTAGATTTATAGATTCCTGCTGAAACCTTCTCAAAATAATTTCGTTATATCCTTTTCTATGTTTTTAATATAGTTTTGACAGTTTCAGCTTTTGTCGTATCCCTTATTATGATTTTAATATAGTTTTGTCTAAGTTTTGACTATTATTAAGGGGTTTCGTTCCTTATTTATAGGTAGATTTATATCTTTTAAATTCGTAGATTCGTAAACTTATTGTATAAAGTTAAGAATAATAGTAATATTGAGATTAGGGTAATACATTCTAAAGTTAGAAATCCATTCATAATTTCAGTCAATATTACAAAAATCCTAATCAGATGAAACATCAAACATAATACTAGATCTCATTTCTGAAAAGATTATACAATTAGGTTATAATTCACCTTCACATTCATTATTATTCAGATCTTTACAATCCTGATCGCTTTCGTTTTCAACAATAGAATCTTTTAAGTTTTTTATAAATGGATTAAGTAAATCCAAAACATTTTTAATTCTTTTATAATAATGTTTAAAAAGATCAGACTATGAGATACTATTATTCTCAATCAAAGTATCTATATTACAATAGCTAATATGAAGAATAACTTTAACTTAATAATAGTCTTCTTATTAAAAATTATTATGAAAAGATAAAAGACATGATTACACATATACGATATTTTTCTGTTCTTATCATTTTCAGCAACCTTTAGAATAATAATATTTCAGATAAAGTTGATGAAGTAAAAGGTTCTCAAGTTCAACAAGACGAATTCAATATTTTTGCAGAGAAATAATATAGTCTGACCAACTTAATCTTCAGTCAAAAAAGATATATTTCTAGATTTATAAAACCAGCAAAAAACATCTTTATTGAGGTTTAATGTAACAAACTGATAACTGCAATGATAAAGAGGAAGCTTAAGAAGTAAATGGCATGTCTTTTAGATGAAAATATCATGTTTTACAACAATTTAAAGTAGTAAATCTTAAATTGCGATAAGAGTGAAATTATTTAGATTATTATCTTTAATAATCCTGAAAAAAATTCTGAGAAAGCTGCAGAGCGAGGTTCTGATTTACTTATATACATACTTAAAAATATAATATAATGCAACTTTTATACTAAGGATGGGTTTTAAGTCAACATTTGTACGCTAATCTTAAAGCTGTAAGTAGTCATAAGAGTTAAGAAATAGGTCATTTTTTGTAGTAATTAGTTCAGACTGTCTGTTATTATCTTATAAGTGCATATTTTCAGTTATGTCTTTCAGATATCTAAATTTATAATACTGACGTTTTGTACAATTAATATGAAGGTAATAAGAAGAATTACAACAGGTATAACGTTGCAATTTATTTATTAAGTTAACATAGTCTTGTAATTTATGACACAGCAGCTCATCAGATCATTTTTGACAGATGTTATTCAGAAAATGATGACTATATATATACTAATTTAAAAAAATATTTTAAAAAAAATTTAATTAATAAACTTAAATTATCAAAAAAAAAAAATATATAAATAATATATACTTTTAATTTATTAAATATATCAGCAATAGTTAGTTCATTAGAAATTTTTTACTGAAAAAAGATAAAGTAATTTAAAATTATATATATATATAAGATAAAGATATAATAAAAATAAAATAATCTGATTTTATAATATAATTTTAAGAATATAAAAAAAATGAACAAATTAAGATAAATGGTAATAGTTAATATATTAGTAAAGAAGCATTACAAAAATATAAAAGAAAAGTAATAAAATTAACTAATAAATAAACATAAATTTTTTTTGTCTATTTTTATTATGATTGAAATTTATCATAAAAAATACAAATTCACATTTATTTTAAAATATATAAAATGTCAATTTGATCATGTTTTTTTGTTTCAGATAATAAATAATATTAAAAAAAAATTTTTTTTTGAAATGAATTATTTAATATATTACAAATATTATTAATAATAATTTTTTTTACATACAATGTTTAATAAAATTCAATTTTAAATATATTAATAAATTATTTTTTAAAAGATTTTAAAATTTTAAAACTCATTTTTTATTAACTTGAAAAAATCAAATTTAATAATTTTTTCATTACTTGTATTAAAATATTTTCCATTTAAAATCTAAATCTCATTTTTTTAAGTTGTGACAAATTATTTAACATAAATCAAATAAAATTCTGTATCAAAAAAATAACCCTAAAATACACACCAATCTTCACGTGATCTGGGAAAATTACATATAGATAAGATTTTCAAACACTTTGTTAGCGAATTTCTCTTTATTATAGAATTTATACACCCAATATCAATAATTAACGGTTTATTTTCTTTTAAGTAGTTGATAGAATTGTTACATACTAATTCATATTTAATTTTTTATGCATTGCGTAATAAAACTTTCCCATATCAAAAATATGCAGAAGTTACATTAAATATTACACAACATTGTTGAAATATAAGTTAGGTTAATTAATATAATCGGATTTTCCAGTGCCAAATCCGGTTTAAATACAATAAGAAGTTAAAAAGGTTGATCCAATGATTCGAAACAGGTATTCTAATTCGTATTTCTAAAAAATAAATTATCTGCAGGCAATGTAATGTTATATTGAATGTCAAAGTTTAGAGCGTTTCAGAATTATAAATTTTTGGTAATTATGCAAAACAAGCTCATTTATGAAAGAAAAAAAATCGTTCAAATGACAAAAAAGGAGCCGAATTAATTTTTTGAACAATGACCTAATTACTTAATATAAATAAGAAATGTCGATCATCTTTTATTGGACCTTAGATTTATTGTGCAAACCTTATTGATTATTGATCAATCTGACGTTATTTTCGGCAAAAAAAAGAAAAAATTGTTGGGTAGTTAAAGATGTAGTCGGTTGGGAATATGTATAACTCGTTTCTTTTCTTTAGTAACAATCCATATGATGATTGATATTTGGCCGGACATATGACAAAAAATTTTAATGAATTTTATTCAAGAAGAAAAAAAGACGACAACGCAAAATCTAACATAATCAATCATTGAAAGCTTATAAAATAATCATTTTTGCAATTGATTTTGGCATCAAATTTCTTTTCAGGATTATTTTTAGGTTACATAACGAGTTTTTTGCGATGAAGGAATGAAAACCAATTTCAAAAGCTTTCAGCACGATGTAATCGATCCATTTTTCATGTCGAAGACAAAAAGGTTTTCAATTTTATCACGAAATTTATTTTTCGTATAACAGAATAAAATCAATAAAGTATAATAATAGTATAATACAACACGTGCGAGTGTAAATTTAAAACTACATTCTGCAATACAACACGTTCATCTTAACAGACTATTTCATTTACGTTCATGTGATCTATATGTAACAATACAATATGCTTTGGAATGTGGCGCGTTAATATAGTTTAAATAAATAACTTTTTTAAGTTTAAGTCGCGAATCAACAGGTTGTTTACGTCAATGTTTTGATGTCGAAATTATCAATGGTTGGTTTCGGAATGTTTGTAGTGATCTTTTAAACAATTTTTCTTTAACATAAAATTCTTTTTTTTTAAAATATTTTAAACAAATAAAAATGTTAAATATAACTAATATGTTACATTATAATTTATCATCTTTTGGATCGTGTAAAAATTTATTAACTTTTCGAAATATATATATAAGATACAAAGATATATAATAAATATAGAATCATATCTGACGAGTTGTATCTACAAAAAAAAAAAAAATTGATCACGTCTTTGTTTATTGTTACATCATACCTTATTTCACGAATTCTTATTGGATGTAATGAATCATCAAAGGCCCTGAAGATTTTCCGATGGTCAAACATATAAAAGACTCGATTTTCTCCTTTCCTCGAACCCTCATAATATTCATATTATATGACCCAGAATTATTGAAAAATTAAAAAAATTTTTTTCTCTTTTTACTCCTCCTATACAAATTCTCTTTAACAAAACATAAAAAAATTTTTTTTCTCACTCGAGCTCATCTCAACATTTTATATCTTTAGCTAGCAAAAAGCTTTTTTTCTTATTCCGTTGTATTATTTCTTTTTTCCCTTTTTTTTTTTTTTTTTTTTTTTACTTTATCGATTTTTCGTTTTCTTCAAATTTTCTTAAATTTCTCAAACTTTTGAGAAATTTTTACCTGTTTTTTTTTATTATTATTATCTCTTCGACTATTATTTTTCAATACGAGTTATTGAAAAAGTACTTTAATTTACTACTCTCTTAAATATTCTAAACTTTCTTATAAGGAATACTGCTACCAATATGTCGGACCGTCCTAGACGTAACATAACTGCATCTGCCACCACTATGCCGGACCGTCCTAGACGTAACTTAGATACACGAAAAACTCCTGCTACCGCTTTGTCGGATCGTCCTAGACGTAACATACCTGCACGAGCTACTGCTTCTAATACTTCTGTTACATCCACTCGGAAGGAGCGAACCACAACGCATAGAACATCTGTCACAAAAAGAAAGCGTAGAGTTGTTGAAGAAGCAGCTTCTACTTCACAGGTTAATATTACTAATCAACCAGCAAGTGGTACAACTGTTGAGCGTCGACGTTCTAAAAAGGTCAAGTTTACTCAAGTAGAAACATCTGCATCTCAGGTTGCTACCTCCTCAAGGGGCGACCAACCTTCCATTGCCACTATTCAAGAAACTCAAGTGGCTTCTTCTGTCGTCATTCAAGACACCACAATTCCTCAAGTTACAACTACCACTATTCCAGTTATGCGAACAACTCCTAAGAAACGAGGAAGAGGAAGACCACCTAAAGCTTCTAATGGCTCCGTAGTAGGACAAAATTCCAGGAAACGTGGTTATCATGCTGTAGAGGAAGAACACAAGTTTGCATTTAAACCTAAACGTAGAAAAGGTGACACTTTTGCTATACCAATTCCTATTCGTCCTCAACAAGTCGGTCAAGTTTACGCTATTGGTTTGAACGATTGTGCTCAATGTGGTATGGATGAATCAACCGAACATCTTAAAAAAGTAAGGCTCATCCCATCTTTGGGTCAATTCAATATTGTTGATATAAGCGCAGGATCTCTTCATAGCGCGGCACTTACTTCTGATGGTAAAATCGTAACATGGGGATGTAACGATCATGGTGAGTTACTTATATAATAATGTTTTTGTTACACCCTTGTCATACTTGATCAATTGTCAATTAATTTCTTTTCTTACATTAAAATAAAAAACTTTAGGCACACTTGGTCGTTTCACTGAAGCTCCCAAGTCAGCATTCGCAAAAGAAATCTTTGATGCAGGAAACTATGAAATAGGTGAAGAAAATAAACCTGCGTATGCTGAAGGTCTTGATAATGTCAATATCGTGAAGGTTATATGTGGAGGCAACGCTACATTCGCTATCTCCGATCAAGGTCATTTATATGCGACGGGAACGTTCAAGGTTTGTTATAATTTATATTTATATATTGTTTATTTTTTTTTTGTTTTGCATATGTAAAGTCTTATTTTATGTAACTATGAAACAAATTAGGGCAAAGATGGGATTCTTGGATTTTCTTATGATCATCATGTAGAACAACCAATATTCACACGATACAAACTCTTCGAAAATTTAACAATTGTTGATATAGCGGCAAATGTCGATCATGTCTTAGCTCTCACAACAGAAGGAGACGTTTATTCTTGGGGGAATGGAGAAGCATTTCGTCTTGGCAGAAAAATATCAGAGCGCAAATCTCCAAACCCGCTCATGCCATACGACTTGGGATTAAAACATATTGTCCGAATGTACGCAGGCTCATATCACAACTTTGTAATTGATAATAATGGAAAAGTATTAGTTTTTGGACTTAACAACACGGGACAGTGCGGAATAAGTGCACCGAAACAAGCTATCATCCCCCCTGAAAAGCATTCATTCTTTAACAAAATGGGAGAGGGACAGAAAGTTGAAGAGTTTGCAGTTGGAGAACATCATACGCTTGCTCGTACGCAAGATGGTCGAGTTTTCAGCTTTGGACGCACTGATTATGGTCAATTAGGTTTAGGGGATAGCATTCTTCCAGACACTAAAGAAACCAAAGGAAGATTGGTTACTCCGACCGTCATCCCGGGTCTCAGCTCAATAAAATCTATAGGAGCCGGTGATAATTTCTCGATGGCTGTTAAAATGGACAACAAAATTTATGCATGGGGATTTGGGGACAATTATGTTTTGGGAAACAAGAAAGAGGAAGATGCAACATCTCCATTTCTGATTCCTGATTTGGAGGAATTTAAGAGTAAGGATATTGTACGCATAAGTTGCGGATCATCACACGCGTTATTCCTCATGGCAACGGCTTCGAATTTAGGTGGTGATGCGATGGACGTTGATACAAACTAAAAAAGACATGCTAAATATATATATATATTTAAGAAAATTAAAATAGTAGTTTAAATAAGGCTTCTTTAGAGAATAAAGGTTAATATGTGTGGATTTGGTTTTGCTTTGCTTAATTGGTAATTTGGTAATTTGGTAATTTCTTAATATTTTTTTTTAAAAAAAAAAATAAAATATTTATTTTTTAACATTTGTGTTAAAATGCAAAAAAAACGGTCATTTTAAATGTTAGACGTTCATTTAAAAAATAATTGTCTTGTAATAGAATAAATAAATAGACTTGTAACAAAACAATAAAATCATTGGAAATTTGAATTGATCTCGGGATTTTTTTTTTTTTTTGCAAAAAATAACCTTTATTACTATGAAATTAACTACACCTTTGTACGCGATCAAGATAATCAAGATAATTATACCTTAATTGGTTATAAACAAATAGAAGATCAAAGTTAATACCAAAATGATTATCAAATATTTGTTACTTTTTAGAACATTAGAGAATCTACAGATCAAATTAAATAATTCATCACCATAAAAGGAAATTCAAAATTAATTGATGATTTACTGAATATATTTTAATCGACATCCCCTTTCCTTGAAATTAGTTATTTCATTCCTCCTCTTCCTTAACATCTTTATTAAGGAATTCAAATAATTTGTTTCCAAGATCATTACCAATCATATTTTGTAATTCATTTTTAGATATTTGACCTAATTCTTTTAAATTTTTTAATTTTGACATTATATATCTATAATTATTTGTCGTAACTCCAGGTAATGATCTCAAGAATTCCTAATAGATGATATAGTAATAGATAAGTACATGCAAGCAAGGTTTTAAGCTAGGAGAGACAATAAGTAAAGTATACTAGGAAAATGGAAATCACCTGTGGAGCTACGTTGTAATCGCTTTCAATTGTATGATCATCGGTTTCACCGCCATCCAACCCAACCATTTGCGCTATTTCTAAATTAGGTTCTTCTTCCAATTTCTTAAAATATGATATTCAAAAATCAATAATGAAAAGTCAAGGTCACGTGCTGAAATAATTCAATGACATAATACTTACTTTAAGATCTTGAAATATTTCGACGGTAGCAATAGGATTACTTGACCAAATAATTTTCAGTCTTGGAAAGGTTATTGTTAATAATACCAATTTTGATGATATATCATTCATACCTATATCTGATTTGATTTCATTTATAGACTATAGTAAACATATTAGAAATTAGAATCATTATGTTATCTCGCATACTTGATTGATTTCAAACTTACCTGTAATGTAAATGATTGATTCTTATCGAATTCAATTAATAATATGGGTTGCTTATAATGTATACACATAGCCTCACATTGCGTATACCTAATTTTTTTAAAAATAGTACATTATATATACATTACATATAAAAATAAAAATAAAAATATCTTAAGACTTACAATCTTCCTGAATTAAAGCTTCCAAATAGATCAGAAATTGATTTACGTTCAACACAAAAATTAGGTGATAAAATATAATCGCCAATTGTTAAAGTACATGGTAATATTTCGATTCCTGATTGGTGCAATAGTGATGGTAATGAACTACGAAATTCTCTTACATCAATTACAATCTAATTATGAAAATATGGAACGTAAATATAAGGTTTAAAAAGAAAAGGTAAACAATGCATTCAGAAAAAACAATTTCAAAAAGATAAAATACCAGGAAATAATTTTTAGTTGCATTACCTTTGATGGTTCTTTAACTTCTTGTATAATTTTACCACCCGCTATACGTGTATTAACATTCGAAGGTACGTCAGATTGACTATTAAATACTCTCAGAGGTCTTCCCAAAGGTATAGCCATAATCTATCAATTATAATACCAATGACAAAAACAAAATAATATCTTTAGTTATTTCTTCAAAGATCGTGTAAAATCAATGTTGAATATTTACACTTTTTTCTTTAATTAATTTTTCAAACGCTTCTTTTTCTCTACGTATTACACTTAAATATTTTTGTTCTTCAATAGAATTTTCATACATCATAAAATATACTAAACATGGTATATCAGGATGTAGAGTCCGATATACCTAAATAAGATCACGTATTTTACTTAATATTTTTATCCATCAAAATTCAAAATCAAATTCATCATGTCATTAAGATTTCCCATACCTCAACTCTTCTAATAAAAGCTTGGTCAGGATGATAAATGATAATATATTTAGGTTTAATAGATTCCAATATTCTATCATCATCATCATCATTTATAGGTCTAATAATAATTGAATCATGTAAATCTAATAATCCAAAATATGCAGAAAATGTTTCCACATCAAATTCATCATCATAATAAGAGCTATGGTGTGTCGTCAAAGCATTGTCTTTCAATGAGCCAGCTACTGCCATAGGAGCCGCAGCAGAACTTGTTTCTGATATGGTTGGGTTAGAGTTTATACTAAATGAGAATAATAGTAAATTGTTACAAATTGATATATTATATATTTTGAAAACAAGTATTTCGATGGATAATTACAAATTTGCTATTTCTTGAGCTTCTTCTTCAAGTGTTTTAACATTTGTATTTCTAGTAGTATTAGTTGATAAAGTAGCAGTACTTGATCCACCACGTACACGTCTTCTTTTATTAGATGGCTGTTGACCACGTTGGAATATCCCTCTTTTTGGTTGTTCATTTCCTAAACAATTTTTAATAATAATAAAAAAAAAGTCCTTTTCTCAACAAAATCTACACTTTTATATTAACTTCAAGCATACTTACCTTTCCCACTGTTAATATTTCTTCCACCACCAGATTCCTTATTACTTTCAATAAACATTTTATTACTAACTTTACTCAATCCACTTTTCCACCTAAAATAATTTTTTAGTAACCTTCTCAACATAAAGCCACCTTTACTTAATCCTTGTTGTTCTGCTATGTGCATTGTTGATAAATATTCTCTTAATTGTGAACATTCTCTTTCATTTTCTACCATGATTAATACAGTATTATTATTAGCTTTTCCTTCTGTAGAAATGATTTTATTGTGATCTATTATATCTGATTCAATTTCTTGTAATGTTTCCGCTAATAAGTTCCATTTTGGAAGTTCTTCTAATATAGGTTGTATTCCTGGTGGAAATTCTGACGATGGAGCATCTGGTTGAATTTGGTCTAATGTGCTATTGTTATTTGTGTTATTATTGACATTAGCATTTGTATTTAAAGTACGAATAAATACTCGTCTTCTTGCTGCCTGTAAAAATAAAATTTTATTTAATTTCATTAAAAAAAAAATAACGATGATTTTCTCTTGTAAAGAAAAAAAAAATTGAAATAATTACACTAAATATTGTATTTCCAGCGTCCAGAGACAACCAAGGGGATTGTTGTTGATGAGATAAAGCAGAAGTAGGAGTTTGACTTGTAATAATAGTCTCTAAAAAACTATTGAATGATACACAATCATAACCGACCAAGTACCTATAAATTAAAATAAGTCGATATTATTTTTTAATATTTGTGTCATTTTTTAACTTCTTGAATAAATTTACACATATCGACATTACGAAATAAAAGAAATTATTGGTTAATAAATAAGATTTACCCGAGTAATTTTCTCAAGGTTGTTAAATCATTAACCAATAATTTCGTTTTCGAGCTAACACGATGCCAAAAAGGTTCTAATTGTTGTCTTAATATAACATCAAAGGATCTAAAAAATGAATTTTCCACCGTTAAATCATCAACATCTAACTAATTATACATGGTTATGCCACATATATTTGATATAATTTTGGTTTAGAAAATTTTCGATATGTGTTAAAAAAAAAAAGGATAAAAAGGCATTAATATAACTTACCCAATTTCCATTTACTTTTTTTATTTCGCTTAAACAAGCTTCAATACATTCAGTAATAGCCGCTTGTATCTCATTCATTGATGGACTTAAAGATTGATGTAATTCTATTACATCAGCTTCATGTTGTTCTAAACAATTTCTTATAATCACATGGAATCTGCGTGAGATTATCGAAAGCGAAGGAGAAATAAATGAGCGTGATAAGTTGTGTCAATTAATTTAATTGAATAAAGTCAGGTCATTAAAATTGTCAATAAAGGTGAATGCAACAAATGAGCGAACAAAAAAAAATTTTGTTGCAAGTATCTAAAACAAACCTCGGATACAAGTAAACTTTACGTAATTGAAGTAATTGTAATGTAGTTTGTAAAGGTGATAATCCTGAAGAAATAAATGATTCAGGTGAATCTGAAAATGCTTTAACAAACCCTTCCTTTAATTGATACAGTAATATTTTTAAAACAAGATTGCAAAAAAAAAAAATATATAAATTTTCATTAAAGTAAAATGTTATAATGGAATAATATAAGAAGTAAATAAATAAATACCTTATTTTCTTCTTTAAATATTCTCAGGATAAATGCTTCAGTTGAAGTTTCATTTACCCTAAACAAACATAAGAAAAATAATATACAATGTTATCAAAATAGAAATTTTGAGAAATTTATCATTCATCCCGATTAAAAAATATATATATATGAGATACCTTTCGGCATGCATAATTAAAATTCCCGTTATAAGATAAGTTGGTATACGTTTTTGTAAAAGGTCAATTATAAGTATTCTTGAAGTTATAGACAATATGCCACCAGAAACGTATAATTCTGATCTATGATTAAGGAAATTGTAAAATTTACTATTGAATTAATCAATTATATTATATTATATTATATATATATATGATAATGATCTTGTAACTTAAAACGAGTACATTCGCTCTTTCCTAACCCTTCTTTTTTTTTTCATTATCCAAAAACATTTTTTACCTTTCTTTAGCGTTAGATTCATTATTAACAACTCTAAGTCCTGGTTTTTTAACCCCACCTTCAGCAATTTCTTCTTTAATACAACTTAATTCATGTCCATTAGCATTCAATAATATTACTAAAGATCCTCTATCCGAATAAATCCTTATCAATGCACATATTATTCTACGTAAACCCAATCCGCGACTTAAAATAAGTAATCCGTCTTCAGATAATATTTCTTCAAGAATGTAACGATGAAATTCTAATGGAAGAGTAGAAGGGTTTGGAAGGTGAATTGAAGGTATATGAGATGAGTCTGTTAATGAACAAGGGAAAGAATTAATTGTATTAGAACAGGAATTAAGTCTCGACTTGAAAAAAGACAGTTCTATTTGAGAGCGTGTACCTGTAGAGGTTTCAGCTGGAAGACATTTTTCACCTGTAAAAGAATAATTAATTGAACTAGACATGTCGATTTTACAGATTTACGAAATTATTTCGGTCGATCTGAATCTCTTTTTGTAATATTAATTTCTTATTGGATGATATTGAATATCACGCCTATGAATATTATTTAGGATGAGCTGATGAAACATTGAGTGTTTTGTCAACATAGTAAAATTTTACTATTGAATTTTTTTGTATTATAGCATCAATTATAATATAGACTATTTCATTGGTAATGACATATTTGCATGAGTTTTAAGATCAAGCTTGTTGAAAAGGCCTTTGATTTGCTATTGATGAATGACAATATAATAAATATGATTCTTGACGAAATTATAAATAGTAGAAAAATGATAAATTGGTTCATCGCAAAATTGTATAAATTCTTTAAGAAAACCAGTCTTGATATAACGATTTGCTCAAACCAAAGTCATTTTTATTATTCCATTTATTTAATCATCTTCCAAATTCTGAGAAATCACAATTTCAAATCAGAAGGTGGAGAGATCCAAGATTTTTGAAGAATCAAAACTAGATGCAAACGATCATCCATCCCTCTAAGCTGACAAACTGCTAATGGTAAATAACAAACCTATAGTTTCCAAAAGCTAATCTAAAAAAAAAAAATAGCAAAGTTTCTAGTAAGGTTTTGAAGAAATCCCATTCAAAAGCCTTATCTGGCATTTCATGAGTATGTCAACCTAAAGGTTATGTAATTAACTCTCTATTTTATACAATCATGAAGTAGTATTTTGTCTTATTATTAATTGCATCAAAGGTTCATAAAAATACTCAGCAAAGTTAACTAAGCATTTAACTTGAATATTTAATTTAGAATTAATCAGCTTAAAAGATACTAATCTATTGAGATAAAATTTAGATGATTTTTTATTCTTTTTCAATTTTTCAATAAACCATTATACAAATTTAATATGAATAGAATGATGATCAAGATATTGTTTAACTGTTCACAATTCATTATTCTAATAAGAATAAAGAGGTAACTGTTATTGATCGTAATGATATTCTAATAATCCATCATATAACTCAAATAATATAAGCATTTATGTTGAGTAATTTATTTTTATCACTTGAATCATAACTATTATATAGCTTCTATGTTAATAGAATAAATTGTATATATGAGATTTTCTTGAAAAAACAGTACTATTTGAAATTATTCTAAAAGCTTCTATTTTAAAATTATTAAATATAATTTGAATTATATAAAACCTTACATTTAAATATTTTGTGATTTCATTTCACAAATTTTTAATGGATATTATAATATAATTAGATTTTTTATAAATTTATTTATAAAGATATTTAACTAAATAAATGTTTGAACATATTTCTATATTAATATAATAGTCATATTTTAATATAGATAAAGATTGTAAAGAATAATCCATCTATTATTAAAAACTTTACTTTTTTGACTGTTTTTTTATCATCTCTTCTTTTATATATTGGATATTTTTATTTACATATTATTTTTCAGTAAAATTTCTATAATGATGCTTGCTATATTTATCATTTATTATGTAAAGAGATTTAGAATTCAAGATTTCATAAGGTTCATAAATCATATTCCTATTAACTGTTTGAAATAATGATCTTTATTTAGAATTATTACATATACTATTTTATCAAAATATTCTAGTGATTTTAATTTATCTTTAGGTGATAAGATTATTAAAATATACATATATAACAATCCTCTTTTTTAAAATTTAATTACATATACATAGGTAATAACTTTATTAAGTATATCTTTTATAAAATATCATGAGTGATTTTTTTTAATTTTAATTTAAATACTCTTATAATAATATTAGATCAATCATTTGCTTATTAATTTAACAAGAATTTTGCTACAATTTCTAGCCAATTGGGATTAAAAATAATAGTAACAAATAAATCAGATTTTTATATTTTCTAACAATTACCATAAAATTTTAATATATTTATTATATATATTTGATAAATTCAATAAATAAAGATAATAAGAATTTTTTTTTAATTTTATCTTTGTAAAATATTTATTAAAAATAATATATTGTAAATTTAAATATATTTATTTTTATAATTTTATTATATGTTTTTATGCTATCTTAAATTTTTTACTATCAAATATTATTAAAATAATCTTTTTATAAGATGTAATATTATTTGAATTTCTTATTTATATTCTATATATTGCAAATTCTCTAATTATCACACCTTTTCTTTTCTTTCTTTTAGTTGATTTTCATATTCTACATTATTTATAAATTAATTTTTTTATTCTTATTATTATTATCAAAAATAATAGAATTAATTTCAGTCAATGATAATTCATAATATAATTATATTATGAATTACTAATAACTTAAATTAGGTTGTGAAAGTATAAAGATTTTTCATAAGGTTATTTTATCATAAGATTATTTATAAATTTATAATTTTAAAGGTAAAAAGTATTAAAATTTATTTAAAAATACAAATTTCAAAATAGTAAATGTGATTAGAAAGATATACAGTCAACTCTTTCTACAACGAATTTTGATATAACGAATTTTACAATACAACAGATTTTCATTGTCGGACAGATTTTT